TACGGATCAAACAAACCTCGGATTTGGATTCAACGCATTAAAATACATATAAATCAACCTCGTCACATAAGTGCAAAATTTTTTTTGAATGTTTGAAGAGCTGTAAATGTGATTTTTCCGATTTTTGGCTATTTTTCGCCGTTTTTCGCAATTTACTCGAAATTTTGAGGGTGTACGGGTCAAACAAACTTTTCAGATTCAGCGCGTCAAAATACAAAAAAATAAGTCGGTCTAGTCAAAAGTACAGACCATTTTTTTTTTGTGTGCCAGTGTTATTCATGGCACTTATTAATCTTCGTGTTTTGGCATGAGATTCAATGTAAGTCGCTTGTCCAGTGAAGCACATTGTTGTTGGTAGCCGGCGTACCTTGCTTATGAATTTTCTCTTGGTTCACTGTTGGTGAGCAACTATAATATTTAAACATTTTCTCAGGATAGTTATAACCAAACTCACTTACTTATGGATCTGTTATTTTTCTAATGCCAGAAGGTGCTTTTATTTCTTCAGAGATCTTTTTACTGTTACTTGGAGAAAGAATAACATTCGTAGCTAATAATGCACAATTTAATACCTTGTGCTTCAAAAAACTACTACAGCAACAGAGATTTTCTCACTATTATTTTCTATCAATTTTTAGCTTTATGAATACTTTACCTACCTCTAAAAAATTGAAAAATTGAAGTACTGGAAAAAAATTGGTTAAGCAAGCGTAGGCAGCAGAAAGAAGAGTAAATGGGGTTAACGATGCAGTAACAGTTGCGCTTATTTTGTAAAAAATTTACTATTTATAATAAAACTTTTGCTAATTAGTCACTAAACGAATTTGTTGCTTTTAATAGATGTTAATAGTGTTTGTAAATTTTGACGGAAGTTCTAAAATATGTTGTAAGATCATTCTTCTTTGAACATTATGTACATTTCATTTTTGAATGAAATAAAATGTAATACCTAAGATTTTTTTTGGTTGCTTGTTGTTATAATTTTTGTATTATCTTGTATAAAATTAACAGTACCTAAGCAGAAATTGTAAGTAGGCTGTCAGTAAGGCCTACTAAGGCTGCCTCTCTAGCCTACTGAGATCTTACAACTGTCGCGTCAGGGTGTTAACTAGGCCTTCAGTAAGCTGCCTTAATAAGCGTAAGCTAACCACCCTTTAATTAATAAATATAGATATGTCCATTTAACAGTTCACACTGTACTATGATTAAACGAATTTAATCCTTTATTTTCAACAAATAATATTTCAATTTTGCCCCAACGATTGACCTTCAAGATAAATCAACTTTTACATTAGTAAGAATGTAAACTTAACCTTGAAGTTAGCACTCAATGTTTATTACAAGTAAGAAATACGTACAAATATATGCTAGTTAACTATAAAGTATCTTAAAATAATAATCAAGCAACAAATAAAAATTGACTACCCACACTGCAGCTTACTTTTTTTTATATAACAACAAATTGGCTTGAACGATTGACAGAAGAATTCGACTTGATAGCAGACAGTTGAATGATAGTGTACAGACTGTTATATATTGACAACAAATTTAATGTCAATTGGTTTTATTAGTCTCATGTTTATATTAATGCTAATTAATTATTAAATCAAGATTAAATAAAAAATCCGTGTAACATATGTACCTGTATACGCTACAGCTTACTCTGCAACTAAAGCTTACATAGCTGTACATACATTCATAAAAGTAGGATAAAGGTAGCTTATGTAGGCTGTCTCAAGGCAATACTGTAGTCCACCTAAATTCATTGTTTCGTTTCATACTTTGGAAGCGTGGAGGGGTACTCTTTTCAGTTCCCCCAAATGTGTAGATTCTTTTAGTCAACAAGTAGCATATATGATATACAGAAGGAGTGCTCTATACAGACGCACAAGCTATATATAGCACTGTAAGTAAGGTAGCAGCTATCGAGGTTCCATATAGCTGGTGCTAGTTCCACCATATGACCTGAAATAATGGAACTGTTGTCCTGGAGAACTTAAAAGAGCGATTCTTTCCCGGTGACAATGAAATAACTCTGGATAACCTGTGTAACGTTGCATTTTCTTGCCCTGTGACACGTAAAGTGTCCTGGTCAGGGCAGTCCCAAAGCAACGTTCCAAGACACTAAAATTATCACCGATGGCTGCACTGTGAACGACGCAAATGGTACTGTATCTAAAACGCGAAAAATACCACCGCTTAACGACGCTCGTGGTTCGGCCAAACTCAGCTCGGCTTCTGGAGACTCTCACCTAGAGGAAGTCCCACCAGAAGTGGCAGGTCGGGAAGCAAGCTACTTTCCTAGGGAAAAACGAGTCCCACAACCTGAAAGAAAACGCTCTCTGGCAATGGCCTACAAATATTTCAGATTTCTCAGATTATTAAGTTCACTTTTTCCGTTGTTACACTTACGCGGGCGTCTAGGCCCGGAAAATCTCGTCGCGATCCGGCGCTACGCCACGGTACGGATTCTGACAATCACGCTTCCTTCTAATCCACTCTCGCTCTAATGATCTTTTAGAGGCACGATCACAGGGGCTGGTTCCCGCGGCTCACCCTATACACACGTGGCCAATACACAAACACACGCTCCTATGCACTACTTCTTGCGACAACACTACACGCTACTTTACCTCGGGGCTTACCATCTTACTCTCTTCTTCAGCAACTGAATCGGCTGGTGACCCTGACCTCGCAGTTGACAACTGATAGCGGCGGGGATGGTTCCTTGGTCATCGGGCGCAAGGTCAGGCTGACTAATCGTAGTCGCTAGCTCTCTTTGTCCTTCTCTCCTTCTCTCTTGACTCTCTCTCTCTCTTTCTCTCTCTTTCTCTCTCTAAACTACTGAAATCGCGAAAAACTCAGAAGCTCTGGTTCGCTCAAATGCTACTACAGAAGTGACACGTTAGGCCCACCAATTAGTGCAGCCTCGCGCATTACCGCCCTCTATCTTCGTACATAGGTATCGACAGTCATACGAGCTACTTCTACTCCTACGCATATACTCTTGCTCATACACACACACTCGGACGCGGCGCACTTTACAAAAATAGATGACGATACTTTTGGTACATATTCACGGCGCGGTTCATATATAAATATGTGGCGAGGTACTACAAATCCTTATTTACTAAGTACATATGTGTGTGTTTTTGTACGCCGTTACTCTTGATGCATGTGTTTCCGCAACTCTCTTGTCTTCTTTTCTCTCCTTGGTGCTACTCTTGTATCCGATTACTCTCCCGTAGCACATGAAACACACAGACCCAGACCTTTATTAGCTCTTTGTAAAAAAAAATAGATTTTACCTTGATGATGCGTTTCGGCCGTTAAAGCTATAGGGTCAGAGAAAAATGACTCTTTTCAACTTTTAATGACTTTTTTTTGCGAGAACGTATGCCTATAGCTCCTTGGTATCGATTATGTGTTACCCAGGATAATATGCATCCTGCAGCTGATTTAACCTACTGCTGTGAAACCTTATTATCTGTACTTGGTGTAAGCTAAAAAGTGAATATTCATAGATTAAAAAAATTTTAATGTGTTTTTATATTCTTGGTGATAATACAGTCCATTAGAACAGCTTTATGTGCTAATTATAATAGATTTCACCTGATTATGCTAAGATTGATCTTTTTTCCTAGAGACTCGTTTGACATCATCTTCTAATGATAACATAGGACACAGGGTACATGAGTATCATCTATAAAAATTTTACTAATATATATGTACAGAAGAGTAGGTAAATAAATGCTGTGATGTTCATTGATGTTCTTCTGGTATTGATTATTGACTGTAAAAAATGTACATCATGCTTAAGGACGTTGCCCTGGATCTTTTCGCCTTGACTAGTTACCTGTATTATCGATGTAGAATCGAAACTTGGCAACACCGTCGGCTGTTGTTAAGTATACTTATATATGGGGTAAAAGAATATATACTAGATACACCTGATCGCTGTTTATTATAAGGTATTAGTATTCAAGTCAAGTGTCATGCCTCCCGAAAGATACCATTGGAAAGTAAAATATGTGTCCAAAAAGGTTTACGAACACATGTCCCGGTGATTAGAGAACGGTAGTAACAACAAGGGACGACAAGTTGCATCTACCAATGAGAGTGAAAAAAACTCGGCCGAAATAACCTCGAAGTACCCTGTTGAAGGAGCGCGTATCGTTGATTTGAAGCATATGTCCAAACAAATGTACTGCAAAAATTGCCAGGAAAAACTGCACATGGGCGTTATCGTGGATGAAACTATTCATGGGATAAGTTCGTATTTCAAAGTAAAATGTGATGGATGTTGTATTGTCCAGTCAATTGAAAGTGGACCTTTGACTGCACTTCCTGGCAGTACTAAGAAAATGTTTGAAACAAATGCGAAGTTACCTCTAGGTAAGAAACAATAAATATTAAGCACGATATTTGTCTGTTCATAAATAACTAATTAATAAAAATTGCATATACACAGGTGCAATACGTGCAGGTATAGGGCACACACAGGCTGACACCTTTTTAAGTACTTTTAAAGTACCTATTTTGTCAAAAAACAATTACAAAACTCAAGAAAAATATATTGGTCCATTCATCGAAGAAGTAGCAAAGAATAGTTGCATCCATGCTATTGAATTAGAACGAGCAGCGACCCTGGCAAATTTAGACAAACTAAAGAAAGTGTTGTGAGTAGTTTCCTATCAATACATCCTGTCAAAAATTTTTTTCAATCAATTTGAAGTTTACATGAACTGATTTTTACACTTACAATGAGTTAATCTTACAATTTTTAAATGTAATCATGCAAAAATTTGATTCTTACAACGTTATTGTATTTGAGGTATACACAAAAACCGTTGTTTTTATATGATTATTACCAAAAATTACTTTTGTAAGATTGTAATTGCCAGTATGCTGTCAATTACATTATTAAAATTATACAACAGTTAATGAATGTAAGTGTTTTTTTTTTATACACATTGATATATACATATATATATAAAATTATGAATTATGAATGTGTAAATGGTGAAGAAATTACGTTTGTGAGACTGTTTGCTAAATTTAATTTTGGATGGACTCAACGCGCAAATGGTTATGCCTACGACAGTCTGAATGGATATGGTGCTCTGATTGGGGAGCTTAGTGGAATGGTCCTAGTATATATAACTTTTAATAGAAAATGTCGTCAGTGTGACTCTAATGAAAAAAGAAATGTTCTGATAGAACATGATTGCCGCTTAAACTTTTATGGTAGCGCTAAGGGTATGGAGGCCGAAGGTGCGCGTAAGCTGGTAACTGAAAATGAGCTTTTTAAAAATGCTCATGTTGAAATAGGCGTATTTATTGCCGGCAATGATAGTTGCAGTATTAGTGCAATACAAAGTAAATCTAGGTGTACAGCTAGAGAAGGTAAAGAGAATTATGTTGGGTTACAACTGAAGAATGCTGTATTATTCAAGGAACTTAAAATTTTATTTGTTAAGCTTGCCGAAAACGCCAAAAAGTTTTTAATGGCAGCATCTTCACAGGCAAATGAGAGCCTTAACAATTTGATGTGCAGTAAGGCTCCAAAGAGATTATGTTACAGCACAAGTCAGTCATGTGATCTTCGATTTGCTTGTACAGTCGTACAAAAAATTTTTGTAGAGGCTTATGTCGATCGTATTCTTCATGCTCTACGTTTTGAAATGACAGATCGACTCACTAGGCGTATTCAACGCTGTGACAAAAAAGCTTCAAAACGCAAGATCAGAAAGGAACGTGTCAATGTGAAAAGAAGGCGTATTCAGCTTTCTCAGGCGCGCTCTCAATTAAAACATCGACAAGAAAAAAGAGAAGGGGTTTCATATAGCAGTCATATGTCTCTCTTTGACGTGCAAGAATCTTCGAGTGCCCAAAGTTTCGATGCTGACGAAAGCTTCTCTGAATCAATCCCCACTGAAGGATTAAATCAGCTACGTGATACGAACAGTTTTGAGACAGATGAAGAAGCTGTAGTATTTTTCGACCTGGAAACAGGAGGGTTTGACATGTTCAAAGATGAAATTTTACAAATTTCCCTAAAATGTAATGAAAAATCGTTTACTTCTTACATAACACCAACGCGATCAATCAATCTAAAATATTTAGAAATTTATAACTTGACCCGAATAAACAAGAACCTTTATAAAAATGGTCAGCAAGTTGAGACAAACAGTAAATCGGCCATTGCACACGATGTTTTGCAATTTTTAAAGGAAATAGAAAAAAAATGTATTTTAGTTGCTCATAAATGTGACTTTGATTCCAGGCGTTTCGTTAATTTAGTAAAAAATTGTGATTTACTCAGTAATTTTCAAAATGTCATTGTTGGCTTGACGGATACTTTGCCTTTGTTTGAAAAACAAATTGTTGATGTAGAAAATTATAAGTTGACTACTTTGGCATCCTCCAAATTACAAATTTGTTGTTTGGATGCTCACGATGCAAAGTTTGATGTGGAAATTCTAGAAAAACTAGCTTAAAAATTCTTAAGAATAGAAGATTTAATGGCAATCAATGCAACTTTCGCTGATGTGTGTCAATATATTGATAAAAAGAAGCGCAGTAAAAGTAATAAGAATTCATTTTTACCTTTAAAAGGTGTACTTTCAAAAGAAATGATGCAAAGATTGGCCGAGTCAAATTTCAGTTATCAAAATTTAATCGATGCTTATAAAAATGGCCCAGAATGTGCGACTCACCTTTTAGAAGACAGAGTAAATGGATCAGCAACAATTATTTAAAAAAGACTGATTCTCGATAATATTCTCAATCACTTACTGTTAGTCACAAAAGTACAAAATAAGATTATTACTGAAGTTATATCATTACATGCGTAATTTTGAATGTGATATTAGAGTTGTATAAACATGCTGAAAAATAAAAGTGTTGGTCCCATTGGCACTGATGCAAGTAATGTTATGTAAAATTTATAAATAGAAAAGCAAAAATTTTTATAAAAACTCGATACCTTAATTTATACATATTACACCATACCCCCGTGATGTGTACATTTGTATTTGTCAATTAATAACTTTTTATATTGTTTAACACCTTTTTTAATAACTTGCTGTAGATTTAGTATTGCACATGAGGTACATTTGAATGTGCCGCCAATGTCCCGCTCTCTCCTTCGTTTTCCCTAAGATACGGTGTTGCCACGTTAACCTTCAAACATCTTTTTTCGTTCCTATTTTCATTGATATCTTAATAAGAAGCATTATAACATGGCTCCAAACTTTAAAGGTGGAATCATAAAATATTTTTTCAATTAATAACAAAATATTTCTCACTTGTGTTATTTCTAATAGGTTTTATAAGGTTATTTCAATCGCTGTCCCATAAGAACAGCGTTAAACTGCTTGTCATATATCGCATATTTCTCTTTTTTTAGTATTATAAGGTATGCCCAAAAAACGTGTGCGAGTTCAGAATGGTTTAATCTACCATACTTCCAAGTTTCGTCAAGTTCTGTAATCATTTTTATAAACAGGGCAACGTCCTTGAAGAAATGATGAGCTATGTTAAAAGTTGTCTCTAAAAGACAAAAAGCATGAGTTGCAGAATCAGTGTTGTCAAGAGCATAAAATGTCTTTAGTATCTGAGTCATTATCTGAATTTTATAAATGTATTTTATTTTTAATCCTCATGAACATATTTTATGCATACTTATTATTGTAAAACTGGTTTGGTTGATATAGGGGTGTACACTTCTGGTACTCATGTGGTGTCTGAAGTCATCATAGATCACAGTTTAGACGTTTGGTCTAAAATGTGTACTCTTTTCTACATATGTTATTAATATAAAAGTTAAATAAGATGTATTAATTTCATTGCACTTTTCATTACAATATACATTCATGTGTATAAACCTTTTGTGCAAAACAGACTTATTTTCATCTATGCTGTAGAAACAACTCTATAATAATAGAATATTTCTCATGAAATTTTTTTAGGAATTTTGATTCTAAAACATTAATTACGTATGTTACAGAATTTCTAGCTAACTGTAGAAAATAATTCTCTTCTAGATATGCAAAAATTGCTTAGCTTAACATACAGAAGACTCGAATAGTTATTTTTATAAATAATTATAGCTCCACTGTGAACAATCATGAATACTACTATTAAAATATTTATAAATTGATCTTGAAAGATTGACTTCCCTGAGTATGAAACTTTAACTAAACGTTTTCTTCGTAATTGAAAATTTCGATTATTTCTTGTGCGAAAGGCAAAAAAAGTACAATAAATAAGTGTACAGCTAGAGAAGGTA